GCATCTTCATCCATACCGTCACCCTATATCATTGTCATACCGTCACCACATATCACAGTCATCTACATCAATACCAACACCACCTATCATAGTCATCTCACTATAAACCTCAGAATGCCTCAATTTTGCCACGTTGTAACGTGGTAAAAACAAAATGCCACGTTTGTCTGGGGTTTCAAAACGTTTTTTTTTTTTAAATTGCCATGTTTTTGGAACGAGGTATTTTGACCAGAACGAGGCTGTTCACAAGGTTGGATACATGATTTTTCAAAAAGGTTTTTGCCACGTTTGGACAAAAATGCCGAATGAGGCATTCTGAGGTTTATAGTGTCTACAGTACATCACTACCATCACTCCATAATAGTCATATCATAGTCATCTTACATCACTACCATCACCACATATCATAGTCATCTATACCAATACCAACTCCACCTATTATAGTCATCTACATCACTATCACGACTTCATATCATAGTCATATCATAGTCATCTACATCACTACCGTCACCACATATCATAGTCATCTATATCAATACCAACTCCACCTATTATTGTCATCTACATCACTATCACGACTTCATATCATAGTCATCTACATCACTACCATCACCACATATCCTAGTCATCTACATAAATACCATCATAACCATCTACATCATTACCAACACCACATATAATAACCATCTTAAACATATTTGCGACTTTTGATTGTTTCAAAATATCGACATAATATTAAATCGAAACCTTTGCCTTTCAGCAGATAAAACCAATTTAATTTTTACATCGGTTCAGAATGTACCAAATCCTTCCTGCATTCATCTATATTGTATTTGGGAAAAAGTATTGGCGAGTGTTACGCACTGTGTATATTTGTTCGTGGGTTGTTTTATTTTTATATGAATATTTATTTCTTTATAAAGTAGCGTATGTAATGTTCTGTACGTATTTAATGTTCTTTATATCATTTTCTATGTGTGTATACATTAAATCTTTTATGTAAATATTGGCGGGTGTCAACATAACCCAAGCCAATTCCGCAATCCAATTTCATTTGAAATAGAATATTGTTTATAATACCATGCACTGTGTTATGGGGACAATTTTGCCCGGACAGCGGCACTAGGGCTTACTTTTATTTCGAATTCCAACTGTCGAGCGTTCTTTTATGTGCACGACAATGTGTACACAGGACCTCGATTTTTCGTCCCATCCGAACGATTATACGTTGTCCCTTGCTGGGCTCTTCGTTCTACACCACTGATTTTTTTACCTCCAGTTTAGCGAGCCATCATCTGTTTATTTAATAATATTGGTATAATAATATATCAACAGCAAAACTATCTTACTTTATTTTGATCCCGATTTAACAGTCAAAGAGAAAGCGTCTCTTGATTGGCTTGGCTAAACGACGGTTCAGATGATTTGAAACCAAACTTCTTTTAAGAAGATGTTATTTATCGGGTGGTTATTTCCAATAAAAGAATGGCAATTTTGGTATATATGGAAAGTAAAGATATCCAATCTTACTAGAAAAATACTGGATTCCCCGAAAAACACTCATGGAGCGTATACAGGACAAAAATGTAAGGGTTCCCCTAATCGACAGCCCGACGATTAGGAATTTCTGCACGCGTGATGTCAAAGGTCACACGCGAACATTGAGCGCTTGATGTAGAAGTTGATAAACATTATGAAGAGTTAGACGTACAACATTTTCTGAGATACAAATGACGGAGAAAGACGCGGGTAGTGGATAATCCGAGAATTTAAATAGGATTCGATATTTGTAATAAATAGTAAGCGATTAAAGACAACGTCGTCTTGTGTATGCAATGAATTCTCCTCTGACTTCCAAGAGAGGTAAGTCACGTGACGTAAACATGACCTGGTTTGATCGAATTTTTATAGCAGGGCATTCCATCGCAATTACAATGTTTGAGAAGGATTTGAAGCAAAATTATGACCAATTAATTAGTTTGAATATGTTTTAGTCCATATATACCATTAAATCGCCCAGTTTGTACGCGGGAATGTATCTTTAAATTTCTCTGAAATTATAAAATTATAGATTAATTTGATTTAGGCTGATAACTATCCAAATAGCCCACGTCAGGTACTTAAATATAAAAGCCGTTCATCTCATAATTAACGAGTAAATCGTGTTATAATATACTAACAACATCATTTCACCTGCTTTTCTGATACAGTCCTACATGGATTTTGGCAAAATCTAACCACTGTCTATTGTTAATCGTTAACTGTCATCGACAGCCATTAATAATTACTGGACCTACCATATTTAACTACCATATTAATTGATATCATATCCCCGTTTTTGTTTACAAGAATAATATAATGGTAATGGATCATCTCTTATTATAATGGATACAGTACAAGAGGGGTGTTGACAACAATCTTATATAGAAGTAGAGATTTTTATAAAACACAAAATCGTGTAGCTTTTACGGATTATCAGTAGGATTACATAACAACGTTTCAAAACTACGGCATTTCAGTTGTTATAATGACAAGATCAAAGTATTGAATACAGTTCTTTAAAATAATCTCTTTCGTTAAATTTACATAGAAGACCCCCTGTATTAAAAATAGGGCATTTCTTTTCATTGCTATTGTTTTGATTTTTTTCTTTTATTTCGTTTAAGTGATTTTTTGGCACTATATTTATTTTTGATAAGATATACCGCTTACCAAGTTGATAAGACAGGGTGTCATAAATATGATATGAGCATGAGGTCATGATCCTATAGATATCTATTATCTATTGTTTCTTGACTGATTCTACCTATAGTTCATTGTTATTTAACAAATCAATGTTTAAACATGCATTATGCAAGAGCAAAATCTGCTTATTACAAGTCTTTCTTTGGGCCTGAAATGTTATCTAAATTATCAATTAGACATTAATTAACTTATCCAGACCATAATAAACTCTCGATGTCAAGGCTAGCCTTCGATGTTGGCTGGATTAGATTCCTATATGCCGCTAACGGCTATTGATAATAAAATCAATAAAAGTGGATAATCGAGACTATGCTGTTTATATTAATGATTTTAGTAATGATGATCGAGACTATGCAAAAATTTCACCCGCTTCTTTCTCGGCTCAGAGTGGATCAATTTGACTGAAATTTTCAGCAAATTACCTTTACACTATCTAGTTTTTAACTATTATAGCGAGAACTGCCATCTCTTTATCTTATCTCCCATAATGTATCTTTAACTATTAAATTGGCATCAGTGGCATCAATAAATGATCAAACAGGATTATCCCTGAAATCACTCCAATAAAAAAATAAAAATTATGACGTCTGATGCAGCATTTTTGTCGTTTGGATCAGACTATTTAATTTTTAAAATGTTCATATAACGATCTTTATAAATACACAAGTAGTCATTTCAAGTATTCTGTAGATATACCCTGCCTCGTGCATGACACAAGTATACAAGTATTTATTTGTGGCAACTAAAAGAAACAAAATGAAATTAAATGAAATGGGGTTTCACGTCCTACTCCTCAGCTCCGACTGGGATAATGACGTTGGGCATACGCCATGCAGTGTGCTGAGAGGGCAATTTTGCCCGGACAGCGGCGCTACGGTCTATTCTTATATCGAATTCCAATTGCCAAGGGATCTTTTACGTGAATGCCAATGTGTACACGGGACCTCGGTTTTTCATCTCACTGACAAGTTGAAACTACGCCGGAAAATCCCAATCAACTTTCTCGGCTAACAACGGGAGCGAACCCGCGACCTCCAGGCTAGCGAGCCAGCGTCTTACTCATATAGCCACCGTGGCTCCCTAAGATTAGATATTGGTTTTAATTAAGCCGGTGATCAGGACACTGAACCGCATCCATTGATCATTGAGCACTTTTAATATAATATTATTGTACTTTTAGAGTAATTTACACGATCTTCGGTTAATTAACTTAAATATCAATTATTTAAAAATTAATTTGGCGGGATATATATAAATAAATCTAAAAATGTAATTTACATATTTTCATTTTTATGTTAATTGTTCCGAAAATGGTCGAATACGCACCGGACAAGTGAAAGTCGGACCAATGAACGTCGGACCAATGAACTATTGAACGTCGGACCAACGATGTAAAGCCGTTAGAATACAGCACGGATCGGAATTATGTTATTAGCATTCATGTGCCAGTGAGACCTAGAACACTAACAAGTTGACGAGAAGTGTTAAATAAAATAAAATATCCCGGATTAGACGAATTTACTGTTTATTTCCAAAGTGTGTTTTGGAAGTAAACCAATAATTACGAAACACAACAATGTAAACACAAAAACATTGATGTTAGCAACAGAGACACGACCCTGAACAAATAAATCAATTTCAAAATCTACAATTGACATCTTACAAAATATGGGCGTTTTCAATTACAGTTTGCTATTATGAGATCTGTTTTAAAATAGACGACACTTTTTTAATATGACCCATGATTTGCCCTTAGGGTTTGTTACCAAAACAGCTAATGAGTCAAGAAGCGTGTTTAATTGTGATATATCTATATGTCTACTGGTTTTGATATTTGCTTTATGTAACTAGGGCATGAGACTAAATATAACCTTCCGATAGCTCGATCCAGGGAAACCCCTTCTATTTATAAAGCTTATGCCATCTTGTTGAGCGGTGATATGAAAGCATGTCGCTCGCGTGTGTAGCTATCATATAGTAGGCTTTGTCGTCCTGTAGTTGTAGTGAGCCTACGATCATGCGTGTCTTGACATTTATAACTGTTTAATTTTTTTTTAGATCACCCAGTAAACGAATTATATTTATAATTGCTTATTCATCTACCGAATCACTGACACACACAACCGCTACGTGGAGAGATGATATCACGTGATCAAAACAAATGGGCGGGCCTGACAGCGAGTCTCGGTTGTATTGGTCGCGTGTTAATAATTGATTTGTTATTGACCTGAAAAAGACTGGTATATTTAAGATTGAGAAAAAAAAAGGTGCAAGATAAATCGGTGAGCGTTCGCGAATCGGGTAGTTTACAACTTGTATTTACTACGACACGATTTCAGTTCATCGCCGTGTCAACTAAAGTGGAAACAATATCATCTCGGCTTCTTTTGTTTTTTCTCTAATAACAGCGAGTCATGTACGGACGGGACACAGAGTTCGAGGGAGGTAAGGGTCAACGCTTGTATCTTTTTTTGTTGTCATGATTTTTTTTTTTTTTTTTTTCCTAATTTTAAGATATTACTTATATTTGAAATACTACATGAATTTTATGGTTAATATTGTTTGTATCGGTGCTAGCAGTATATACTAGTATTCAAATAGTTTGCTTGTTTTCTATGCACATGTTCGACTAACTAGACTACTTAAAGTATAGTTTATGTTTAGTTATGTCACTTAACGTGTATTACAACTTGACGAAAGGTCCACGTGTTGGATATAGAGCAATTAAAGTGTAACGTAAATACTTGAAAACTTATGTATATTCAGTATAATGTGTATTTATTTAACGGTATTTTTAACGGTATTTTTTATAAACTGTATTGCATACTATATATTATGTTATGAGCAGATGTATAATTATTTACTATTTTCTATACAGTTCAATATTATTAATGGTTTGTTTTTTACGTTTGAAAGTTTGAATTGGAAATGATAGGAAATGGCATTTTGAATTGGCGTATTTCTTTGAACGTCTAACTTGAACAGCTTTGTGACATTTTAAAATTCTAATAGTTATATTACTTAAAATTTCTTGATGGTCGTTGATCTTTCAAGAAATGATTAAATTAAAATTTGTTGCTCGTAAATAATGATACACTTATAAATGGATGTCTATTTACGGGGTGTGACCAAATGTACAAAATCAAACGTTTGCTGTTGATAATCATTAGGTGTTTACGGACCATTCTAGAAATTAAAATATAAGGTTTAAGTTGTATTGTGCGTTGTGATTTTAGGGTAGAAGTTCACGGAAATACTTTATAATTTCCTGAGGGTTGTTCTTAATTTTCTGGAATACACTATTAGACTTCCTTTTCTTGGCAAGGACACATAATAGCTATAATACATTGTAATGCTTTTGCTTAAATTTCCTTAATTAGTTTATGAAAAATTAAACTATTTTCTTCCATCGGATCTTTTAGACCTCGTAAAATATAGTAGAAATAGAATATTTTATTAAACAAAATTGCGTCAAAGTCTATACTACATGTATATTAGTTTTAAAATGAAAGAGGTGTACCGAAAGGGAGCCACTGTGGGTCAATGGGTAGGCGATGACTCACTGATTAGGGATTTTCCTAAGTAGCGCTGGGGGAACTGTTCATATTGGAAGAAAAACCATCGAAATACATGCAAAACAGCCATTAACCACTGGATGCACAGTAGGCGTAAGCACCACTGCCTAGGCAAAATTACTATCGTAGGACCCTCCGTGACGTATGTCCGTTTTCCTTAGCTTCCTTAGCTGTTAAAAGTTGGAAGTTATACACCATTTTATTTCATTTCCCTACCCCGAAAATATTGGTCAGAAAAAGTCCTATAATAAACAACTTGTTATTCTTTAAATGTATGATACCACTTCTACATTTACTAACCAGTGTGTATTGTTATATTTTCAATGCCTTTAAAAGTTTAATTACGACTGCTATCAGTGATGTAAATCTCGATTTGCTAATGTTGAAAGTATTTTAAGTAGAATTTTATTTATCAGACATACCGTTGTAATTTATAAATGTAGTAACAACTCTTAAGTTCACGTAAGTTCATTTTATGATTCATTAAATATAATAAAATCACATATTTAAAGAGATATGTTCTGCTTCGGAACTATCACCTATAAATAATAATAATAGTTAATCATATATTCATGCAAGTCATCTTTGATTTTTGGATAATTAGGTATATATTGTTTCAAGTTTGGAAAAGTTGAAAGCAAGATTGCATTTTAGCTGGAAAGTTTATAGTCTGCTTCAAAGTTGATTTCGCGTTACGGGGTAGTTGACATTTGCGATTAAATCTATAACTCGGTGTTCAGTCAGACGTAATATGAAACGTATTATAGACTAATGACAGGGGTTTGTATCATATGGCAGACAGTCTGCTTTAACCTTTCGGCTTGTACAGTGAAATTTTCTGTTAGCATTTACACAGTCTGTAAACATTGAGCAAGTCGAAACTTGTCTTCATCGACGTCTTTTGTTTTCTTCGGTTGCTTTTTTTTTTTTTTTTTTTTATTGGCGACACGGTTTTCGGGTCATCGCTCTATAACCTCCAGCTATCGGCGTCTGCCTTTGATTGTGACCTCACGAGACATTGACGAAAATAACGTTGAAAGTATTGCACCATATTAGGTCATTATCATAAGGCCCATTTTAGGACAGAATTTCTCTTTAGGAGGTATAATGATATCCATGAAATGAAAGAGGATTTAACGGCCTACTTTTCTGTCCCGACTGGGCTAATGAAGACGGGTATAGGCCATCGGGTGTGTTAGTACTTGAGCGGAATTTAGCACAGAAAACGGTGCTACGGCCAACTCGCTACGGCCTCCTTTTATTTCGAATTCAAACTGTCAGTGGTTCTTTTTCGTGCACGCCAATCTGTGCACGGGTTTTCGCCCCGTTATCCCTTGTCACACCTTCCATTCTGCACTACTGACAAGGGGGAACCACGTCGTAAAAATCGGGGTCTAACATTGGACCTCCAGGTTAGCGACCCAACGTCTTACTCACTGAGCTGCCGCGGCTCCGCAATGATATCCACGCAGGTGATATTGATTTGAAAATTTTAAACACACATGTAAATATAAAATTAATATCTAGGAGACACTATACGAATGTATTGTGTTGTGAAATATTTTCTAATGAGTTTGATAGGCCGTTAACCTCGGTATACTATTTATTGATTCAATCCAGAACTCTATGTGGCATATATACGTATTAAAATACTTATTGAACCTGGGGATTTAAACATTTCATTTCCCATTTTATCGACTGGGTTTTGGTTTCCCCTTGTCAGTGATGCAGGACGAAATACCGAGGTCCCGTGTACATATTGGCGTGCACGTAAAAGATTACTTGGCATTTGGGATTAGATATAAGAGTAGGCCGTAGCGCCGCTGCCCGGGCAAAATTTCCCTCATAACACACTGTATGGCGTATGCCCGTCTTCATTAGCCCAGTTTAGGAGCAGAACAGTAGGACGTTAAACCCCATTTCATTTCATTTAATTATTTCCACTACTAAATTACAGTAGAAACCAAATAGGTTATTAAGCAATAATGATGGGTATTCTAGTAATATAGGCAACACAATAACAAACGTTTTGTAATGTAAATACATGTATATACGCTCTCTTAACGTCATAACAAACCACACCCAATAGTTTGTATACATGAACTTGACACGATTAGGCAGCGCGACGTGCGTAAACTTAAGTGCATTATAGTAAAAGTTTTTAATATGTATAAGGCGTGTATTAAATAGCTTTACTCACTCGAGACCTATAGTTATAATACCAAGATGATAATATACTATGAATTATGGATTATCTGTTATCTATTGTGTGCCAGTTAAATGCACGTTTCATCTTTTTTAAATGTCAAACCCAGATTAAAGGGACATTCCGTAACATTGTGTTTTTACATGTATGTATATGTATATTAAAAAGATTTAAAACTTTCGAGAGGTCTCGGTAGTCGAGCGGTAATGAAACTGGTCACAGGGCTGGAATATTACGGGGTTTTTTTTCAAACTCGGCCACCACTGGTCAGGGTAGATCCCGCAGGGCGGACGAGGAAAGTGTTCTTTTCGTATGCATATCGAATTCTACAAAGAGTAGATTAAAACGCCGCTGAAATATGCAGTTGTGTCGAAATGAAATAAAATGTGGTTTAACGTCCTACTGTTCTGCTCCGAACTGGGCTAATGAAGACGGGCATACGCCATACAGTGTGTTATGAGAGAAATTTTGCCCGGACAGCGGCACTACGGCCTACTCTTATATCGAATTCCAACTGTCAAGTGATCTTTTACGTGCACGCCAATGTGTACACGGGACCTTGGTTTTTCGTCCCATCCGAACGACTAGAAAGCTGTCCTTGTCAGGCCCTCCAACCTGCATCACTGACGAGGGGGAACCACGCTGGAAAATCTAGATGAACATTCTCGGCCGATGCAGGGATCGAACACCCACTTAGCCACCGTGCCCCCTGCAGTTGTGTCAACAAAACATAGTCATAGTGTGATACTATGAAAATGTGTTCTGGATCGCTGTATCTTTAATACCAGTTCGGTGATGTCACGAATCATCACAATACAATACGGATGTTTCAGTATATGCATACACATTATTCTGGTTATTTTATTGATTTTTGCACTTGTATAAAATGTAATGGGATGTAATGTCTATTCAACATACTATTTAGATAATTTTCAGACAGGCATATGTAATTTTGTATTCCTATGATAACGTGTAAAAACCGTGGCGGGCATTTCCGACCTGTCTTCTTCGATTTCAAATTATCAAGGATTATTTTACTTTAACATCAATGCAATACGTAGAGTGATGTGTTCCATTTTGCATTTTTCATAAATCATTTTATCTTGATTTGTTATATTCAACTGCATGATATTTTTGTTAGCTCTAAATGGTGTACGCGTATGGCATAACAGAAGAGATTATGAATATTACTATTTCATACGCAAATCAGAATTATCAACCTAAATAACAAGAAATAAATCACATTTCCCCGACGTATCAAAGGTTTCATTTACAATTAATAAAAGGGATCAATACACTGTAACACCTAAACCAAAATGCAAAATTGTTAGATCCAAATAATTATTATCTGATAAAATTTGATCAACATAAAGTTCGCTAAATAACATAAATATGTACATGTATGTATATTACATTTATGTTATGTAAATTAATTATTAACACAATATGGAGACCTATATGAGTATAGACACGAGGATGACATACATACCGGTAAGTATATAGGTTTTTGTGGCGTTGTATCTACAATATCAAATATGTTACATTCTGTTCTTCATTCCAACGTTTCCAATTAACAAAATTACTTTGGCGTGTTGGTTAAGCCTATATTCAATATAATGCCAGTAGGTTTTGGTATTTTGGTCGCGATTTCACCAATAATTATA